AGGGTACTTGCAGAACCCGAACCTCTCAAGTAATGAGCATATATAATATGTGTGCTTGTGTAGAACACTAAGAAGAACTCTTGTATTTCTCGTGGAAAACTTATAAATATAATATGCAGATTGTCGCAGGGATATTGAACTGAGATGGCTTTCGTTAGGAAATGTGTGCTTGTGTTTATAATGCAATTTAAACCATTTAAAAGTTTAGATTTAAATTTTTTTTATATACAATATTTTAATGATAAATTTATTTTTCAAAAAAAGTATTAGCTGTACGATTATATTTATCTTAAATTCTATACCTATTAAAACAGAAAATTAATTAAAATTTATATTAAAAAAATTTAACTGCCCAAAATCGATGTGAATGGTCGAAACAGGGATCATGTGTTTTGCGTCTGAGCTTGATTTCCGTTGACCTATTGTCCGTGTTTAATTTGGTTCTAGAAGCAGTTTGACCAAAGAAAAATTTGGTTCTCGAAGCAGAGACAGTTGGCTCTTGGGCCCCGTATTTTGAATGTCGCCTAGTTTTCAATATCGAAACACATTATTTAAGACTTCAAGCATGACTCGGATAAACTTTACTAACTAGCCGTAAGAATACGTATTTTAGAAAGCCTTAAAAATATTTAAAAACTTTGAATAAATCAGATTAAAGTTGTAGTTATAAAAATAAATAAAACCTTAAATAATCAGGTATTTACATTTTACAATATATGAGGAATAATTAATATTTAGAGCTAATTCTTTGGAAAAAGTATTTTTAGAATTGATAATACTTGAATATAGTTGTTTGATTAGGTGTAATTTACTTTGAGGCATCACAAAGTTCGAAGCTGTCAATATGGACACGAAACATGGTGTTGAACCCATATTTGTGTTTATTCATGAACGTAACTAAACAGATGAGGAAAATAATTAAGATGACAACTTGGACGGACGCTAATTTCACATCATATTCACTGGCCCCAAAAAAAGAACAAATTTTTTTTTTTATATGTTATACTCCTCCGATCTTATATATAAACTTTACTTTTAAAAAAAATTTAGTTCAAAATATAAACTTTATTTTTTAGTTTGTATAAACATTTATTACTTTTTTATGATTCTATCCTTAATTGACTGTATTTAATGCTTCATCTCCCTTATTAATATTATCTCTATATATTCTTTTTCATTACCTTTTCATTTATTGCCTCTCTCATTTACTCTCTTAATAAATAATGGCAAATTTAAAACAAAAGTATTTCTGACCTATTTATTATTTTTAACTAATTTTAACTGCTAGTCTATTAAACGTGATTCGGTTATTTGAAGCTTATATATAGGATCGGAGGAAATACCATGTAGGTTAAGACACATCTTTTCTATTTTATTATATATAATAATTCAAAAACTCTTCAGAGAGTGGATTCTCGGAGGGCCCTACAATATATTACCTCATCTCTTAATTATAAAAACTCATTTATAGACCACAAATAAGATGTTATATAATCAACAAGTGTTGGTCCAAGTGAAAGGGATTTGAGCACTTTAAATATCATGTCCTGGGTTCAGAAATTAGTCTCTTACCGTTCAAGTAGGAGGATACTATGAGCAACAACAAAAAAATAAGGTCTTATAATTAGAATTGGAAGTATTAGGTTTTTATAATTTGGGATTGTTTTGCATGTTAAGTACTGCTTAGCTTTTAATAAATCTTTTTAATGAAACTGTGAAATTGTTTGATCCTTGGAAAGACATATGGCGGATTTAATATTTGAAGATCTAACGGAATAGTAATTATATATAGCCCCCCCCCCCAATTATTTTTGTTACAAATTAAGCTAATTAAATAGCCACTAACCACTAGCCAGCATACACATAGATATGTAACAATTTGCTTTTGCAAACTAAAAGAACCGTATATCACAATATACTTATTGACCACACCACTTATCGTGACTAAATTACATGTTAATCACCAGGGTTATGAAAAATCATGGTTAGTTCAACGGCAATTTTGTTAACCATTGATTAAGCCACATATGGTTCGGCCAGCCACGTGCGTCTAAAATAATCTTCCCCAAATCACGGGTTAGTCCCAGTTTTATATCCATATTTAGATCATAATTAATTCAGGCCACAACTACACACACTAGCACACAATAATCGCAGTTAAATTATGAGGGAGCCACTCATACGCATATTTAAAACCATTATTTTTGATCAGGTATAATTTCATGATATGCGCATGAAATTTGCATATGCAATATAAAACGATCTACGCTTAATATTTTATATATAAGTAGCTCAAGGATATTAATCATATATAATAACAAACGGTTGGCTTTGAGTAATTTTTTTTGTGTTATTTTCCAAAGGAAAAAACTAATAATAAAAGTGTCAAAATAAATTACACCTATCATGAAGTATGATATTGCAGTCACATCATGCTTTGTAGGGGCTATATTTAACGCTGAGGCATAAATTATTTTATATTACTTTAACATGTTTTGTGGGTTTTTTCATATTATTAGTCAGTCTAAATTTAATAAAAACTATAACTTATAGTACAGCAGAATAATTCAATCGTTAGTCAAGTTCAAGATTGGGGGAAAGTATCAATGAAATATATGTGTTAACATAGAATTGCCTTTTCCTTCAACTTTTTTTTTTTGGGAGAAAGTCATAAAGCCATTACTGAAATAAAAGATTATATATAAGTGAGTTGAAAAGAGAGGAAAGGGAATTCTGTGATGACCTGCTAAGTAGGGCCACTAATCCTCACAACATAAAGATTATATACAAGTGAGGGGAAAAAGAGAGGAAAGGGAATGCTTTATAATATGATCTGCATGGTAGGGCCATTAATCCTCAAAACAAAAAGATTATATATAAGTGTGAGCTTAAAAGGGAGGAAGGGAATACTTTATGATATGACCTGCTAAGTAGGGCCATTGATTCTCAACAAAAAAGATCATATATAAATGAGTTGAAAAGAGAGGAAGGGAATGCTTTATAATATGACCTGCTAAGTAGGGCCACTAATTCTCAAGACAAAACTTATATATAAATGACTTGAAAAGAGAGGAAGGGAATGCTTTATAATATGACGACCTGCTAAGTAGGGCCATTAATTCTCAAAACTAAAGATTACATATAAGCGAGTAGAAAATTAAAGAGAAGAAAGGGAATGCTTTATAATATGACCTACTAAGTAGGGCCATTAATTCTCAAAACAAAAGAAATTATATATAAACGAGTTCAAAAGAGAGGAAGGGAAGGTTAGTTCTCTCTCCTGAGTGGGAGCATTTTCTCTCTCCACGTGAGAGTTCGTTACGGCGATTATCATCGATTTCGCTTGTGAATCCTGAATCCGTCGTGTTGTGTGATAGTGAGAGACTGATCTGAGTGAACTTCGTTGCCCACTGCGACCAAGCAAAGAAAGAGTGTTTTCTCTGTTACACATTGTAACAGCGAAAAATAGTGAGGAAAGAAGTTTCGGAGGGACGAGGAGAGGTGGAGATGGAATTTGGTGAGAAGCGTCGTGATAACTGTATGAAGAAGAATCCCGATGAATTTGTGGTGGATCTTATCTGGAGAAAGAATGAAGACCATAGATTGATTGGTGGTGCTCTGGTTGGAAAGATCATGTCGGAAAAGAATTTAAATCCAGCAACTACTATCCAGATGATTTGGAAAGGATGGAATCTTTAGAAGAATGAGGACCTTGAGATAGTTGAAGTGGATCATAAGGATTTTATCTTCGAGTTCTGTAGGAGAGATGATTACGAGAGAATTCTGAGAGGTCGATCGTGGTCGATCAACGGTTTGTTACTGAACATCCAGTGCTGGGATGATGAGACGGTGTTTAGCGAAGTAGATTTTGATTTTTGTCCATTCTGGATTCAATTTCACGATCTACCTCGTGCAGCAATGGATATTGATAATGCTGTGAAATTAGGAAGTCTGATAGCTGAAGTTACAATGGTCGAGGATCCAATGACAGAAGGCCTATTGACAAGAAGTTTTTTACGTGTGAGAGTCATTGTGGATCTAAGGAAACCTTTGGTAACTGGAATGTGGGCTCCTAGAACAAAGAAGGATCCTATTTGGATCAAGGCGCGATATGAACGTCTACAGAATTTTTGTTTTGCATGCGGCAGAATTGGACATGATTTGAGATATTGTAGTTTCTCAAAAGAAAATGATGGAAACCTCTCAGCTAAGTATGGGTCCTGGTTGAGTACTCAAGCTGCTAGGAAAAATACTGATGCCATTAGAGTTCTTAAATCTGACTGGGAGGAAGCTGATGGTTACAAACAATACACTGAGAAGCAGGGGAAGGAAAGACGAAGGCTGACCGGACAATGTAATCAGATAAATGATGAAAGAGGAAAAGAGGAGGAAGTGACTCTGGAGAATAAACAGCAATGTGATAATTGTGTTCATGAATCAAAGGAATTCGAGGGGAATGCTCTGAAAGGAAAAAATTTGCTACCATCAGACATTGAACAAGAAAATTCTGAAGAAAAGAATAAGAAGGAGTCTGATGAGGGCAATCTATGTAGATCAAAAGGTAATAGAACAATTATGATCAATAGAAATAGCAACTCAGTGGATAAGGAGAATCTCTCTCCGGTTTCTATGAAGGAAGATTTTTCTAAAGCTTTGGTTGTTTTTGGAAGTATATCACCAATGGCTGAAGTCACCCTTGGACTAATGAATTTTGGTTTGAAAAGAAGGGGCAATGACATAGAAGAAAATAATAATAAAAAGAGAAGAAAGCTATGTTTTGAAAATGTGGTAGAACCACAGAACCCCATTCATGGTCATGTCAAGAAGAAGGAAGTGAAAAGAAGTATCAGGGCTGTTAAAAAAGGCATGAGACAGAAAAGAGGAAATGGAGAGTGTTCATTGCTAAATTTTGACTTTTCTTCCCAGTTGAATGTAAGGGAAGATACTCAACATCCTGTTAACGGTTCTGGTGACTGGCCACAATCAGTCACCAGAGAGCCATGATCTTCATCACTTGGAACTGCCAGGGTCTTGGTGCTTCCCTGGCAGTAAGGAATCTAAAGGAGGTTTGCACTAAATATAGACCTTCTTTAGTGTTCCTAATAGAAACAAAAAAGCATCAGAGTTACTTAAAAAGAATTAAGAAGAAGCTTGGCTTTCATAGTGAATTCTATATGGATCCTAGAGGTAGAAGTGGTGGACTGGCGGTCTGGTGGATGGATGAATTGCAAATTGATCTTATATCTGGCAGTTCAAACATTATTCATGCTAGGATCTCTTGCACAAGTGAAGATGCACCTTATTTCCTTACGCTGGTTTATGGACCCCCAAAAGAAGCGGAGAGGTCTCGGGTTTGGGACAGATTGGCGAGCTTGGCTACTTCTATAAACGGCTCCTGGTTGTGTGCTGGAGATTTCAATGAAATTCTGAATCAGAATGAGAAAATGGGGGGAAATCTTAGAGCTGTTAGAAAGATTCTAAGATTCCATAAAATGATCAGTGACCGTGAATTTATGGATTTAGAATTTAAAGGTTCAAGATTCACCTGGGCTAATGGTAGAATAGGAGTGAACAATATCAAAGAAAGAATAGACAGAGTTTTTGGAAATGGTGAAATGAGAGAAAAATTTCCAAAAGCAATGGTCTTTCACTGTGAACCTATAGGATCAGATCATCATTTATTAGTGGTGGACCTGAATTACCAACAGGAAAAAAGTCCCAGACTTTTCAGATTTGAACCTTATTGGTGTAAGCATGAGGAATATGATGGGGTGGTTTGTAGAAGCTGGAATTCTGATAAATACCAAAATTGCAGTGCTGCAGATGAAGTGGCTGCAAAACTGGTAAATTGTAGCAAGGCTTTGAGATCATGGAGCAGAAAAGCCTTTCCTAATAATAGGAAAAGAATTGAAGTTTTGATGAGGAAGCTGGAAGAATGTAATAATCAGATGTTGACTGAGGAAATTCTGATACAGAAAGAGGCTATTTCCCGTGAAATGGAAGAGGTATGGAGACTGGAAGAAAAATATTGGCATTAGAGATCTAGAATTAAACGGTTAAAAGAAGAGGATGGGAATACAAAATTCTTTCATCTCACGACTATCCAGCACAGGGCAAGAAATAAAATCCTGAGATTGAAAAATGAAAGTGGGAGATGGTTGGAGGAGGGCTCAGCTATAGCAGAAGAATTTACCAATTACTATAGAAGTCTGTTCACAGATTTTGGTGAGTGAAACTTCTCTTAGGCAATCAGCTATGTTGATTGCAAAATTACAGAAGCTGATAATATGCGCTTGATGAGAGCTGTCGCTAAAGAAGAAGTCAAGGCAGCTTGTTTCCAGATGGGAGGGAGGAAAGCCCCTGGTCCTGATGGTTTTATTGGGCAATTCTATCACTGTTCTTGGGAAACTGTAGGTGACAAGATCTTTGAATTGGTGAAAAATTGTGTTGAAAATGGTCTTCTGATTGATCTTGTGAACACCACTGATTTGGTGATGATTCCAAAGACTGATAAACCTGAAGTTGTCACTCAATATAGACCTATAAGTCTTTGTAATTATTGTTATAAATTGCTTTCAAAGGTCTTGACAAATAGAATGAAGTCTTTGATGCCGAGGATAATTTCTAAGAACCAGTGTGCTTTTGTTGAAGGAAGAATGATTCATGATAACATTGTTTTGGCACATGAGGCATTCCACTATTTGAAAAGAAAGAGGGGAGTCAATAAATTTGAGTTTGCCTTGAAAATGGATATGAGTAAAGCCTATGACAGAATTGAATGGGATTTTCTTGAGCATCTTTTGTTGAAGTTGGGTTTCGACTCAAGATAGGTTGCATGCATCATGAGTTGTGTCAGATCAGTGAGGTATTCTATTATGCTGTCTGGGAAAAGAATTGCAGAGGTGACTCCAAAAAGGGGAATAAGACAAGGTGACCCTCTCTCACCTTATCTCTTCATCTTGATTGCAGACGTGTTATCTAGTATGATTAAGAAGAATGTGGAAAGAGGCTACCTAGAAGGCATTAAGTTGAGCCACTCCTGTCTAATTCTATCACATTGTCTTTTTGCAGATGACTCTTTGTTTTTTATGAAGGCCTTACGGAAAAACTGCAGAAGGTTAAAGAAGATTTTTGCAGTATATGGAAATGCTTCTGGTCAATTAGTTAATCTGGAAAAATCTGGAATTTATTTTTCTGCAAACACTGATGAAAATAGAAGAAACCGTGTTTGTAGGTGGCTAGAAATAAAAGAAACCAGAGATCCAGGGAAATATCTTGGCCTCCCTATTATTTGGAGCAAGTCAAAGGCTGAGTCACTTGCCTTCAATCGCGAAAAGATGATAAAGAAGATACAAGGATGGAAACAGAAATACCTTACTCAAGCTGGAAAGGAAGTATTGATTAAGGTTGTAGCTAATGCGGTTCCTGTTTATCCCATGACTTGTTTCAAAATGCCTATGAAAACTTGCAAAGAGTTTGATAGGCTTATCTCTAAATTCTGGTGGGGGAAGGGCTTGGAAGAAGATGGGATCCACTGGAAAGCATGGAACATCATGACGTTGCAGAAGAAGAAAGGTGGCTTAGGATTCAGAGACTTTGCAAATTTTAATCTAGCCATGTTAGCAAAGATTGCGTGGAGATTAATTCAGAATCCTGAGGCTTTATGGGCTAAAATGCTGAAGGGTCTCTACTTTCCTCATTTTGATTTTCTAAATGCTAGCAAGGGGGGGAGAGCCTCATGGGGTTGGTCTAGCATTTTAGAAGGAAGAGCGTTTCTGAAATAGAATTTAGCATAGAGAATTGGAAATGGTAGGAAGGTGAGGGTTTAGGAGGACAGATGGGTGGGGGAATGTGCTCTGAAGTACCTTGGAGGAAATAACTCTGTTGATATGGAAATGTTGGTAAGTGACCTCATAGAAGATGGCCAGTGGAAGAAGGAACTCCTTTGTGATATGTTTAATTTTGAACTGGTCCAGAAAATATCACAAATCCCTTTATCTTCATTGGAGAGAGGGGATACTCTAGTTTGGTCAGGCAACAAGAATGGCAACTATTTTGTGAGGTCTGGATATGCTGAGTTGAAGAATGGCAAGAGTGTTTCAAGGAGAATGAGACCTAAAACTTCCTATGTGATACCGGAGGGACTTTGGAGTGAGATTTAGAAACTTAAAGTTCCTCCAAAAATTCAACATTTTATTTGGAGAGCAATACATGGTGGCCTAGCTACAGCTAAGAATTTATTCAGGAGAAAGTGTTGTAAGGACCCAATATGCAAAATTTGCGGAAGATGTGATGAAACAGTGGAGCATTGTCTTCTTCTCTGTGACTGGGTAAAGAAGGTTTGGTATGGCTCACCCATTGGAGTTATGGTGAATGAAAGGAGAATTTCCAGATTTGATAAGTGGTTTTGGCTGATACTAGGTGAAGGCAGAAAAGGCAATTATTTCCAAAAGGCTTTGCTTGCTTCTATCTGCTAGCATGTGTGGAAGAGTAGATGTAGTGTTGTCTTCCAGGATGTTGAGATAGAACTAGGAAAAACGTTGAGGAATGCTATCTCTTTAATTAATGAATTCTGGATTGCCAGAGGATGGTTGAGGGAGAACGAGTCAAATGCTGCTATGAGAACCCTGGAAAAGTGGAATGCACCTGGTGCTGGAATTATTAAGGTAAATGTAGATGGTTCTTTCATGGCTAAATCTGGAAAAGCAGGAATAGGAATAAGTTTCAGGAGCGAAAATGGCAAGGTCTTACAGGTTTTTGCTGAACAAGTACAAGCTTCTTCTGCTTTTATTTTAGAAGCTCTTGCTGTCAGGAAAGCATTGGACCTAATACGGATGTATGGCAGTGGCAAATTCCTCATTGAGACTGATTGTGAGGTCCTATTCAAGGCGGTGAAAAATGGTACCGGTGCATACTGTGAGTGGCAGTCACAAGTTGTAGTTGAAGACATAATTGCACGTTTGAGTTCTGATACAGACACTGGTTTTGATCTTATCTCTAGATCAAGAAATAAGGCTGCAGATTGGTTGGTAGTCTCAGGTTTAACGGGGGTGAGAGTTGAAGGTTGCTTTGCCCAACCTCCACCCCCTCTTACCAAACTCTTATTGGATGAGGAGTCTTGGTTTGACACTGTTTGCACTGTAGGATCAGATCAGGTTGTTGATGAGGAAGTTGGCTGACGGAATGCTGGTGCACCTGTATGTCTTGGCAGCTTAGATAGATCTGGTATTGGTTAAGGCTTTGTATCTGGTTTTCTGCTTTCTTTCTTTGGTTTTATTTTGGCTCTTGTTATTGTCTTTTTTTGGTTTCAATTTTGTGTGTTAGGTTGTATTCCTAGGCGTTTCTTGAGTGTTTTTATTTTTCAGGCCTTAAGTGGCTATTAGCGTGTGTACCTTGTTTTTTTGAGTATTAATAAAATGGACTCTTGTTTTGGTCAAAAAAAAAAAGAGAGAGGAAGGGAACACTCGTTAATATGCCCCGCTAAAGTAGGGCCCTTAATTCTCAAATCAAAAAGAATTATACGAGTGGGTTGGAAAGAGACAAAAAATGGAATACTTTATAATATGACCTGCTAAGTACTGCCATCAATTCTCAAAACCCAAAAAGATTATATATATAAGAGTTGAAAAGAGAGGCAGGGAATACCATGTTAACGCGATGATCTGCTAAAGCAGGGTCACTCGCAAATGGTCACATCTCTGTGGGGCTACTGTTGCAGGCAAAACTAGAAATACATTTGCAGACAGTAAAATCAATGTCTGCTCCCCCCCCCCCTTCAAATCCTCTCCATCATCAGCATGCCCTTGCCTTGCCTTTCCTTCTCTCTCTCTCTCTCTCTCTCTCTCTCTCTCTCTCACCCGGAGGCACCAATAAACGACACAGAGACTCTAATTGCCAGTACAATCTTTTGGTCACAAGCAGTTGAACCCATGTCCAAGCAATCTCATGCTTCAACAATCTGACTTTGCCTCTCTCCCTGGGCCCAGCATTTGCTCCCACTCGTCAGGCTTCAAAGTCTAGTCATTCTTCAATTAGCTAGTGTCGAATATCCGAGTGCCTCTTCTCTATAAATACCTCTTCTCTACTGCAACAAGCTTCAAGGCAACTCTGTTATCTACTTGAGCAAGGTTATTTCTCTATATCTCAGAGATTCTCAGTTTAAAGCCAAGCTCCACTATGAATTCTGAAAGCATCAATAACCAGAAGGTTCTTACGCCCCCCACTCAGACTCAGCTCGGCTCTAACTCTTCAAGAACTGCTAATGGCACTCAAATGCCAACCACGCAGAAGGCTTTTTCCCTGGCACATACGCCGCATCCTCACACCACCACCTTTTCAAGAACTCCCACTCCAATCCCAACCCCCCTCAAGATCTTCTCCCACACACCATGATCCCTCTCATTAAGCCCATAAACTTGTCAGGTTTGTTTTCATTATTTTTCGATATCAGTCTGAAGTATATATACGCAATGATATCTGATACCTGGCAAAAACTTTCGCATATTGGCTATATTTTTAATATATAACTGACAAGAACTCTTTTACTTCTCGTCCGAAACTTAAATCTTTTTACCTACTCCCAATCCCAACGAAAAAGCTAAGTATGACGTACAATTTCTCTCTTCTCTTTATTAGATTGTATATGCTCATCCCCGATTTCGTTTTCATGCAGATTATGGCCCGTGGAGTGCCAGAGACATTGGAGTGAGATGGCTTCGTTAGGAAGAATGTGTGTGTGTGTGTGTGTGTGTGTCTCGCTAGCAGAGATGAAACATTATGTGTTTATGCTTTGCGTCTGAACTTGATTTCCATTGATCTATTGTCCTTGTCTAATTTGGTTCTATGAACACAGAAATAATTAGCTTGTGGGCACCGTACTTTGAATATGACTTAGTTTTCAATGTTGAAACTGGAACACATTATTTAAGACTTCAAACATGCATGACTCTGAAACATAAGTAGTCTTTAAAAAAATTTAAAAACTCTGAATCAATGACATTAAAGCTTTAATTATAAAAATAAATGAAACCTTCGGAGTTTATAATGTATCTTGGTTTGTTGTAGGTGAAGAATAACTAATATTTAGAGCTATAGTTCTTTGGAACGAGTACTTTTTGGATTCATAATACTTAAATATAATTGTTTGATTAAGTGGAATTTACATTGAGGCATCACAAAATTTGAAGCAGTCAATATAGACACCAAGCGATCCGTTGATCCTATAATTCGTGTTTATGAACAAAGCAACAAAATATGAGAAGATAACAAATTACGGACGGACGCTTTACGGGCCCTTTTGTCTCTCTCTTATTTTTGTTTTATATTCAGGCCATGTTTACACACTCTCACAATAAATGCAGATGCATCTGAGGTATCGCATATCTGAAATAGTGAATTTCTCCAAATAGTTAGGATCTCCTGTATTGTTCTTGTTAGTACCGGGAATAGTGAATGCAGCAAAAAATATTCCTGCAGCAATCAGTGTTGAAAGTTAAAACAATCATGCAGGACTTTGAGAGTGTCTAGATAAAAACAAAACTATAATTTCAAAAATATTTTTACAGTATACGAGATAAATATGTGAAAGAATTTGTAAATATTTCTAAAAGTATTTCTAGGATTAGCCAAACATTTCTTTTTGTAGTTTCCTTACTCCAAGACCCTGCTTCTTTTAGCAATTCTGGAGAAATAACAAAATTCTTTTTTAGTTAAAACTGAAAACAATAAATAACTGTAATACTATCTCCAGTCCTAATTTAAAATACTAGAAAACAAAAGGGTGTAAGGTCTGAAAAGGACGCAATATGCCGTTGCGTACGGCCACCCTTGTTCTTGTAATGGGGAGATCTTTGCATGGGGCCCACCCATCTTAATTTCTAAATATTCTACTGTGCGACCCTCAGTCACAACCAGCGCCAGCCGCCATAGACTTTTTAAGTCTTTAACAAATATATGTGTCCGTAGAACGTGGGGGGAGAAACATTGCAATATTTACCCATTTGATATTTCATTTCAAACTGTATAACATTTTCGTTTAGAAAAACTAATTTGAAAGTTCTTATAGTTTGTCTTAGTTTTGAATCAAGTCCCTTTTTTTTTCTTTTTTATTGGATCCTTTAACTTTACATAGTTAGATTTGTTAGACCCTGCTGTTAATTAAACACTAACGGTGTTAAAGCTCTCATTACCTATCTCCTTCCCTGTAACCCCAAAAAGTTTCAGAACAAAACTCTCCTCCCTAATTCATTGTTCGTTCTTCGTTCATTGCTCAATATCTTCGTTCATTCCTCCTTTGTTCTGCTATTGAAGCAATTACAGTGATTATGGCTGCATCTATCCACCGGCGGCTACTTCTCATTTGTCTCATTGAAATTCTGCACCATTTTCGGCAAGCAAAGTGAACTTAGCTCGAACTCCGATCATCCTCCATCTTTATTCGACAAGTATTCATTGGTGGCGACGAGTTTCTCCAGTCAGAGATTGCTCAAAACAGTCAGAGATTGCTTGTCAAAGATGAACGACCTTCTCAGCCACAACTTCAACACTAGCTTTGCTGAATGATTTCAAACCACCGCTTTCCTGAGCTTTCAAGAAATCTAGATTAATGGGTTGATCTTAATCGAAGGCGTAGCTGAGAGAAGTACTAAATTTGTGCAGTTTTACTCCAATTTCAGAACTCAAATGAATATGAATTTATCGAGAGAAAAAAGGGCATGTCACAATTACAAGTGGAACCCAAATTCACATAGCGTAAATCAAACTAATAAAATTCTTTTCTTTTCCA